GTCAGAGAGACAAATTTTGCATGTTCGCAGTCATTTGTGGGTGCTAAAAATTAAAACAATTGAACTCATAAAAGATAGAGAGTAGGATGAAGGTTACCAGAGGCTGGAAAGAATAGTGGGCTGGAGGGGGTTCACAGAAATAATTAATGAATACAAAAATACAGTTAGAATGAATAAGATGTAGTACTTGGTAGTACAAAAGAGTGACAATGGTAAACAATAATTTACTTATTTAAAAATAGCTAAAAGGGACCAGGTGTGGTGGCTTATGCTTGCAATCCCAGAACTTTGGAAGGCCAAGGCAGGAGGATCACCTGCCAGGAGTTTGAAACCAGCCTAACTAACATAGCAAAACCCTGTCTCTACTTAAATACAAAAATTAGTCTCAGCTACTCAGGAGGCTGAGGCAGGAGAATAATTTCAACCCTGGGGACAGACATTGCAGTGCGATGAGATTGGAACACTGCACTCCAGCCAGGGAGAAGAGCTACACTCCAGTGCAAAAAAAAAAAAAAAAAAAAAAAAGAAAGAAAGAAAGAAAAGAAAAAAGGAAAAGAACATAACTGAATTGAATAAAGAAGTAAAATAAATGCTTAAGATGAGGAGTATCCGATTTACCCTGATGTGATTATTACACATTGCATGCCTGTATCCACTAGGAAGCAGAGGCTGGTCCTGGAAGGGCCTACCACAGGCAGGAGCCAGGCCTGGACAAACCCACAAGAGGAGGCTTTGGGCCTGGAGAGGCCACTTTCAGGCAGGAGCTGGGCCTGGAGAGGCCGACTTCAGGACCATTTGGGCCTGCCCAGGCCACTGGAGAAAGGCTGGAGCCAAGCCAAGAGAAGCCAACTTGTGGAAGTTTGGGGCCTGTAGATGCTGACAGAGAGCAAGAGCTGAGCCTGGGGAGGCAACCATGAGCCTTTCAGGCCTATGGAGGACATCAGAAGCTGGGCAGGAGCTGAGTCCACAAAGGATGTTGGGAGGCAGGAGCTGGGCCCAATGAGGTCATTGAGAGACAGAAGCTCACCCTGGAGGGGCCAAAGTGAGGAGGTTTTGCAACCAGAGACAGGATGGCAGGACCTGGGCCAAAATTGGCCAACTTTAGGAACATGTAAACCTCTGAGGCCACCAGGAGGAAGCTGGAGCCAGGCGAATAGAAGCTGACTTGAGCATATTTGGGTCCTCGAGATGCATTCAGAGGGCAGGAGCTGATCTTGGAGATGCCATTATGAGGCATGAGCTGTGTGGGCCTGGAGAGCTTGATTTCAGGACCTTCAGGTCTACAAATGCCACAAGGAGCCAAGTTCACAGAGGTTGTTGCAGGGCAGGTGGGGGGCCTGTAGATGAAGCCATGAGGAAAAGCTTGCCCAGAATGGATTCCAGAAAGCAGTACCTGGGCCTGGAGAGGCCACAAAGGAATGAGCTTATGAGCTGGGCTTGGAGAGGCCACCAAAAGCTTCCAAGTAGCGGGCGTGCAGGCCTAAATCATCTAGTGAGGAACAAGCTGGGCCTGCAGAGGATGCCGAAAAACAGGAGCCTCCATCAGCCTGGGGAGGCCATTGACATGTGCCTAAAGAGGCCATCAGAGAGCCAGGAGCTGCCATGAGGCAGGCACGCAGGCAGGCAGAAATGGCCTGGGGAGGCCAACATCAAGGGTAAGAGCTGGGCCTACCTGTTGGTAGGCAGGAGGTGGGTCTGTCCAGGCCACTGGGAGGCCAAAGGTGGGCCTGGAAAGCCCAACTTGAGGAAGGCTGGAGCCTACACAGACTGCTAGAAGCTGAGCAGGAGCTGGGCCAAATGTTGTTGTGAGGCAGGAGTTGGGCCTGTAGATGCAGCCAGGAGGAAGAGCTGAGACCAGAGAGGCTGACTTGAAATGTTCTGAGCTGAAATAGGAAGCCAAAAAGCCAATGCTTGGCCTGGAAAGGTGTCTACCACAGGCAGGAGCCGGACCTGGAGAGTTACACGAGAGGACTAGTGCAAAGACACATGTACACATATGTTCATTGCAGCACTGTTTACAATAGCAAAGACTTGGAACCAACCCAAATGCGAATAAAGAATATGTGGCACATATACACTATGGGATAGTATGCAGTCTTAAGAAAGGGTGAGTTCATGTCCTTTGCAGGGACATGGATGAATCTGGAAACCATCATTCTCGGCAAATTGACACAAGGAAAGAAAACCAACCACCACATGTTCTGTCCTAAGTAGGTGTTGAAGAATGAGAACACATGAACACAAGAGAGGGGAACATCACACACTGGGGTCTGTTGGGGGGTGTGGGACTAAGGAAGGGATAGTTGGGGGTGGAGAGGTTGGGAAGGTATAACATTAAGAGAAATTCCTGATGTAGGTAATGGGGACATGGAGGCATCAAACCACCATGGCATGTGTGTACCTATGCAACAATCCTGCAACATTTGCACACGTACCCCATAACTTAAAGTGTAATAAAATTTTTTAAAAAAGAAAACAGGCTCCAAGGTAGTGACTAAACAATAATTTGTAATGAAACAGACTAAGGCACAAAATAAATTAAGAAATAATAAAGCAGGCTTTAAAGTAGTGAACTAAACAATATGTAATCAAAAATAACAATCATATATAAATGATTCAATAAAGTATACAATTTTTTTCAGATAGAGTCTCACTCTGTTGCCAAGACTGAAGTGCAGTGTTGTGATGTCAGCTTTCTGCAATCTTCACGTCCCACACTAAAGCCATCTTCTTACTTCAGCCTCCTGAGTAACTGGAACTATATGCATCCACCACTGTGCCTAATTTGTATTTTTTTGTAGAGATGGGGTTTCAACATGTTGTCCAGGCTGGTCTCTAACTCCTGGACTCAAGCGGTCCACCTGCTTTGACCTCCCAAAGTGCTGCAACAGAGCAAGCCACAAGGGCACAAATACTTCCGTGAGAATAGTCGGAGCTCCTCCTCCTCCATCAGCTTCTGACTGAAGGCTGCTGGCCCTGGCTGATGCCTGTTACCCACAAAGCCACCTATGTCACCTGGTTACCAACAAAGTCAGGCCAGTGGCTCACAATGCCACTTCCCACAACCCCACCCAAAGGCTCACAATGCCCATCCCTGCTGCTGGCCATCTGTGGCCACCCTGCCCCTCTCGGTGACTGCATTATTCATCCTGAGTGGCCTGAGATACTCCATTTTTCACCATAGGCCTCAAAAAACCCAGAAATGTCCCTTCATAGATTCTATATATAGAGTGTATCTAACCTGTGAATAAAAACAAAGGTTTCATTCGGCATGATAAATTCACAAACACACAGCATTTTCACAGAATCCTTTGGGGCCCACCTCTCACCTTCAGCTTCCTGTTCTTGGTTATTTGGGCTTCTGTCTTGTATGCTCTGTCAAGTTCTAGGCCTTGTAAGGGTGAGTTCCATGTCTCCACTCATTTATATGTGCCCAGGACGGTTGGCTCTTGGGAGAGTCTTCATGACTGAGGCCATGGATCCTTCGCACTGTCCCTTGAATCCACTTGACACAAAAATACTTTGAAAGTGATGCTTCCATTCAATTAGGGGCCAACTGTATTACGGATCCCTAGTACCCAATACATGGCATATAAGAAATGAATGAAAAATGAGTGAATGAACTCAAGTGTGCCTACAAGGTGAGAGAAAAATGGTCCTACTTACTAGGTGTGCTACGAAGGCATCTGGGACCATTGGCTTTGCTATTTCATAGTAGGCTTGGGGCTTTGAAGGCTGGTATTTCCTCATTCTAAACCTCAAATTCCAATAAATTACCACCAAGTGGACAAAGGTCCATGGGCCAGAGCTCTTGGTGTGAACAACATATCTTTTGTGGGTGTGATTAATGGACAGGGACTATACAAAACTAAAACAATGTTTGTGTGCTGACTACCTGCAAGCCATGGTGATAAAACACTCTGTATACACGATCTTATTCAATGCTTGTTACAAATCCATGAAGTGGATTTTTACACAAACTTTCTATTCGAGCTTTTTGGTGTGGTGACTTTCACCTACTCGGCAGCAGATTCAGATACTTGTTATCTGATGGCCAATCTCGTTACATGTATACTCCTACATGCTTCTCCTCCCCCTCTCAGGATTTTATAGCAAATCCCACACATCATATAATTTCCTCCCTGACTCTCTTGGTATATGTCTGTAAAAGATACAATTCTTGTTTGTTCTTTCAAGACAAGGTCTCTGTCAACCAGGCTGAAGTTCAGTGGCATGATCTTGGTTCACTGTGGCCTCTCCTGCCTCAGCTTCCTGAGTAGCTGCAACTACAGACTCACACCACCATGCCAAGCTAATTTTTTAATTTGTATTTTAGTAGACACAGGGTCTTGCTATGTTGCCCAGGCTGGTCTAGAATTCCTGGATTCAAAGGATCTTCCCATCTTGACCTCCGACACTACTGAGATTATAGGTGTGAAGCGCCGTGCCCGGAGACAAGAACTCTTTAAAAAATATAATAATCCCAATACATCAACCATCTCACACCATTGCTCTTTATCACTGTCAACTCTCCTTCTAGCTCCAAATTTCCAGTCATTTCATGTATTTATTGTGTGAATCAGGATCCAAATAAAGTCTCTCCTTGGGATTGTTTGATTCACCTCTTAGGATTTTCTTGATCCTGACCAACTTCCCACTTTGATCTCTGTGCTGTCCCTTGTAGTCCATTTATTGAATAAATCAGGTCATTTCCCCATAGTTTGGATTACGCTAAGTGTGTTACGCTAAGGCCAGCCCTGCTCAGACACATTCACTGGCTTGGACGTCCCCACCTTAGCAAGACCTGGGAATCCATGCAGGGTCCCCCTCTGAGCAGATAACCTGATTTTCTAACTCTCTCTGCCCTTCCCAGCTCATGTGTGAATCCCTGGGCTATGCAGCAGCCACACCCACCAGGCCCTTAGGGCACTGGAGTTTCACCCACCTCCCCAGGGGCAGGACACCAATCAGCTTCCGAACCTCCAGCAGAGTCTAGGGTCAGCACCATGGCACCATTGTGGAAAGCCAGGGGCAGGAGGGTCAGGACAGCCAGGGTCCTCCCATCCAGTACAGCCCCAGCAACTCACCCAGCTCACCTCAGAATCCAGTGGCTCCAGTGATGGGGCTGGGCCCTCTGCAGGTGGGTGTAACCTAGGAAGAGGATGTCATGTTCCCTGTGGGAGAGGAGGAGCAGGGGCTTAGGTGGAGGCCAGGTCAAGGCCTGCCAGTGACACTGGGACACTGCAGGCCTGGGTCACCCCAGGAAAAAGTGTTGCCCTACAGCACTGCACCTGAATGAGGGATCCAGGATCTCCCAGGGACAAATTGCTCTCAAGGGAAAAAGAGGACGAAATGGGGCCATGTGAACCATGGACTGGGCCTGAGCTGTGGGGCTCCTGGGGTGAGGCTTTGCCAGGAACACCCAAAGCCTGAGCCTCTATCACTCAGCATCTCCCAGCCGGGGCTAGAAAAGGGGAGGATGACTTGGGTATGACTTGGGAGGTTTCATTTGAGGACCCCAGAAATAACTGGGGCTCATAAAGTGCTACTCGGAGCAGGTGGGATACCCTGCCCCTCATTCAAGTTACTAATTTTTCATACTTTTAATAGAAACAGGGGTTCATCATGTTGGCCAGGCTGGTCTCAAGCTCCTGACCTCAGATGATCCACCCACCTTGGCCTCCCAAAGTGCTGGGATTACAGGCATGAACCACTTCGTCCAGCCTGTTGTTGTTTTAAATAAACCAACTTTGCTGAGATATCACTCACACTTTAGTGCACACCCATCACCGATTTTAGAGCATTTTCGTCACCCCCTAAGGAAATTCTGTACTCAAGGCCAGGTACGGTGGCTCAAGCCTGTAATTCCAGCACTTTGGGAGGCCAAGATGGTAGGATCACTTGAGGCTGGGACTTCAACCAGACCGCACCACATAGTGAAAACCCGTTACTACAAAAAAAATGTGGTGTGGTGCACACCTGCGGTCTTACCTACTCAGAAAGCTGAGGTGGGAAGATCATTTGAGTCCAGGAGTTTAAGGCTGCAGTGAACTATTACTGAGCCACTGCACTCCAGCCTAGGTGACAGAGCAAGAGCTCATCTCTAAAGACAAACAGAGAAAATTTGGCCGGGTGTGGTTGCTCACGCCTGTAATGCCAGCACTTTGGGAGGTCAACGTGGATGGACCACAAGATCAGGAGATTGAGAACATCCTGGCCACATGGTAATACCCTGTCTCTACTAAAAAATACAAAAATTAGCTGGGTGTGGCACATACCTGTAGTTCCAGCTACTGTGGAGACTGAGGCAGGAGAATTGCTTGAATCTGGGAGGCAGAGGTTGCACTGAGCCGAGTGCCATTGCACTTCAGCCTGGGTGACAAGAGCAAAACTCTATCTCAAAAAAAAAAAAAGTTAAAAATTTTAAAATTAGGCTGGATGCAGTGGCTTATTAATCCCAGCACTCTGGCAGGCTGAGGTGGGCAGATCACCTGAGCTCAGGAGTTCAAGAGATCAGCCTGGCCAACATGGTAAAATCCATCTCTACTGAAAAAAATACAAAAATTAGCTGCATGTGGTACACATACCTGTAATCCCAGCTACTTGGGAGGCTGAGGTAGGAGAATCACTTGATCCAGGGAGGCAAAGTTTGCAGGTAGGAGAGATCCCACCACTGCACTCCAGACTAGGTGATAGAGCAAGACCCTGTCTCAAAAAAAAAAAAAGTAAATGAAAGAAACCCTGAGTTCTGTAGCAGACACTCCGTTCCTCCTAGCAGCCTTGCGCCACCTCCATGGTCACAATTGTGTGCCCTTATTTCCCTCCCAGTCTGAGAAACAGGGGTCACAGGGAGCTGACCAAGAGGAGGGGTCTCTGACAACACGTGGAGACTCCCCAGCAGCTCCTCCTCCAGGTCTACAAGGAACAAATCCAGACCCAAAGACACCAGGGAATGAGGCCAGCAGGAGGCAGCCTTTGCCTCTGCCTTTCACCAGATGGGCTGGGTGGGGACACATAATGCGGGAGACGTGGGACACAGGCAGAGTGGGGAGAGACTCTTGCTGCTCCAGGCACAGCCAAGCTAGTGCCTTAGTTTCCTTCCCTCAAATCTGCAAAGGATGAGTTCTCTTCCTTTTTATTTTTTAGTTTTTGAGGTGGAGTCTCACTCTGTCTCCTAGGCCGAAGTGCAGTGATGCAATCACAGCTCACTGCAATCTCCGCCTTTTGGGTTCAAGGGATTCTCCTGCCTCAGCCTCCCAAGTAGCTGTGATTACAGGTGCACACCACCACGTCTGGCTAATTTTTGTATTTTTATTAGAGACAGGGTTTCACCATGTTAGCCAGGCTGGTCGTGAACTCCTGACCTCAGGTGATCCACCGGCCTCTGCCTCCCAAAGTGCTGGAATTACAGTCAGGAGCCACCACACCATAAGCTAGACTGCCACGGGAGTATTGGGGACTGCAGGAAATGCCCCACTCCTGGCTGTTCTGCCTCAATCTCGGCGTTCTGTAATACCCGTCCCCCAGGGCCTGGCATCTCCACCCTGTTTGTCCCTGCCACCTAGTCTGCTGTTCAGGATGCCATCACACCTCTCTCTAACCCCTGGGTGTGCCTTGGGACTCACACCTCTGTGGGATCCACCATGGTCCTGATGGGCTCCCACAAGAGGCCGGAGAGCATCGAGCAGGTCTGCCACATCCATAGTCTAAGCTCCATGACCACCTGTGCAAGCAGGAGGTGATGCTCAGGGAGGCTGATGAGCTGCTTCCCTGGGGAGCCAGGACCCTGCTGAGCTCTAACTGCCCCCTGGGCTCCCCAACATTGGGACAGCAAAAAGCAGGGGGTTGGAGGGGCTAGAGGCACCTGGTCATTCCAGCTGCATCCCGTGTGCAGCTCAGTTTTGCTAATGAGCTCTTGGAAGTGAAGGGAGGCCCAGGGTCACAGTCTAGATGCCCAGAGGAGTCAATCCAGGCAGGGCAGCTTTCATCAGCCCTTCCAACCTCCCTCCCTACCCAAGGGCCCCAGGTCTTGCCCAAATCTCTCACCAATTCTGCTTAGCCCTGTTGTTCATTTTTTTCTTTCAATTTTTTGTAGTTATGAAACCTTGTTATGTTGCCCATGCAAACTCTTGGCCTCAAGTGATCCTTCCACCAGAGCCTCCCAAAGTGCTAGGATTATAGGCATGAGCCACTGCAACTGGCCATGTCCTGAGATCATCACTGCTGTCTGCCAATGGTGAAGTAAATGGAACAATGGTGCTAATGCTCCAAGTGGCCCAGGGCCAGGTGAAGACGGGAGGCCAGGAAAGCAGTGGGGCTGCAGGGATCTTACCTTCAGGTGGTGCTCGCTGGCTGTGTGGATGTCCTCATCATTGGGGTTGAGTCTGAAGGGCCCACTTCTCAGTCACCTATAGCAGGTGGCAGTAACGCTGGGGGGCAGGCGAACAGGTATCAGGAGTCAGGAGAGCCCCTGCCCTGGTCCCACCCTATCCCTAATGGCTGACTGTCCCTGTCTAGGGGCTGAGTCCTGAAAGCACACCTTGGGAAGGGGCATCTGGGGTGGGGACATCTTCACTCATGAGACATGTGGGCATCAGGGGTCATTAAAGGATGGAGAGAGGCACACAGTTAAACAGCACTTGAGTATTTAATTAGTTCAACATGAAACCACAGACTGGCAACACTGCACTATTTGCTCAGGGATTTGGTGGGAGCCTGGGGCCACAGGGAGGGGCCTTGGGCCACAGGGAGTACCTGGTAAGCTGCCTGTTCCTTGAGCACAATGTGTACCAAGGGGAGCTGGAGTGAGGGTAGCTCCATGGGAAAGGGACAGGATTGCCACCCTGAGCTGTGTGACCATAGGCAAGAAGACCCCTCTTCTCCTTTGGGAGCCGGTGCCCGCTCAGACAGTCTGGATTTGAGCTTTGTAGGTGGATGGGAACCTGGGAGGGTTTAGAGATGCTGGGAGAACCTTTTTCCTGGGAGAGCTTTCCAAACAGGGAACAAACAGAGCCACCCTGGGCCCCGCTGAGAAAGGATCCTACTGGAAGCTCTCGCCACTGTCTTGCTCCACGCTGGTGGTGATGGTGATGGTGATGTCATCAATGCAGGTGGTGAGTGTCGTGAACAGAAGCACAGACCGCTGCAGTCCCGCCGGGCTGAAGTCAAAGTCTGTGTTGTGGACAAAGTAACCCTTGGGATATCCAGGGTGGGAGACCTGTGGTTTGCTGGACCCCTGCTGTGGGTTGTTTAACCTCAGCCCACATGTCTGTGGCCTCCCCAGATCCAGGCCCGTCCATTCTGTGAAGGCAAATCTGTCCCTAGCAGGAAGACTATGGGGTGGGGTGGGGAGGTGGGGCACACTTGCAGGTGTCAGTCATGTAGCAGATGATCCCTGGTGGCTGGATGGAGGGAGTGTGTCGTTGATGGCAATAGTGACGGGGAGGTGGGAGGGCAGGGGCCCCACCTGGACCAGGCTGCTGATGTTGGCCTTGAAGGGGAGGTAAACCCCCATGCTCTAGCACATCGACCCCGTTCACCCATCACAGACACTGGAGATATGGGGAGGGGGTGGCAGGTCAGTGCATGAGGAGGGGCCATGTTATTGGGCACTCCCTCATAACTTGCAGCATAGAGCTGAGGCCTGCCAGCCAGACGGGAAGAATGGCATCCCAATGGGGTAGACTAGGTCACCTATCCCCCTACACAGGGAACAGCCTCCAGAGCAGAGCAAGGAAGGGCCCCTCACCGTTCCAACCCAGGAGACAGGCTGTGGGTGGCACCTGGGACTCCCATGCTGTTCAGCAGCCACACCCACCCACCTGCCCTACGTGCTCCACCAGAATGGCATAGGAGTGGGCACTGCCAATCCTCAGCACCACTCTTCTCTGCAGGTCCTGGGTCCACCACTCTGGCAAGGTCACATCCCATTTGTGCCACACCCAGCTGACAAAAATGCCATAGCCGCGAGTCCTGGCAGATGTTCTTGAAGCTGGAGAGAACCTGCATGTCCAGGGTGGGGCCAAACTGTGGAGAGAAGGGTGGAGCTCAGCTCCTAGGCCCCCAAACAGATCTGGGACCAAGTTACATTCCTGGCTTCTTTGCAGAGCTGACCTCAGGATGTTTAAACTGTCTCCTCCTCCCCATCCTCAGGTCCAGCTCTGTGCAGCCCAAGAGGCTCTGGCCCGACTACTGGGAGGAGTGTTTGGGTGGCTCATGCCGGTAATCAGTGCTTTGGAAGGTCAACATAAAACGATGGCTTGAGGCCAGGAGTTCGAAACCAGCCTGGGCAAAGTAGTGAGACCCTATATCTAAAAGAAAATTTTTAGCTAACTTGCAAGGCTGCGGCAGGAGGATCGCTTGAGCTCAGAAGTTAGGATTGCGCCACTGCGCTCCAGCCTGGGCAACAGGGCCAAGCCCAGTCTCAAAAAATATTTTAAAAATTAAAAACAAACATTAAAAAAAAGGACACTGCCCGGGCTCAGCCTTCGCCTCGGGAGGGGGCTCGGCAGGGGCGCTTCCTCCTCCTCCGCAGCAGTCCTCCTGGGTCCCCTCCCTGCCCCACTCCTCCAACCCAGCGCTCCCAAGCCCACTGACCTTTAACCTCCTCTGGGCCCCCAACCCCCGGGCGACAAGGGAAAGGAGCCTGCGAGGCGGCCCGGGCTCCCCTACTCCCTCCGCCCGGCTTCTGTGTGCCTCTCGGCCCTGCCCTAAGTACCGCAGCAGCGGCCGCTACCACCGCTCCTGGAAGCCCCGGCGCCGGTCGTCGGAGAAGTCGGCGCGGAAGCTCCAGGGGCTGTCCGCTCCTTGCACTTCCATGACGGGCTCTCCCGGGGGTACAGCATCCCGCCCTGCAGCACCACCGTGCAGCCACACAACAGCCCTGGCGCTGCCTAAACCACCGCGGACCCCAAAGTCAGGCTTTCCGCTCTGCTGCTCGGCTTCTGGCTGCGGGGATAAAAGAAGCGCGGGAGGAGGCCGGCGGGCACGTCGCTTGACGTACTGAGGCCGTCGGCGCCATTTTGGTTGAGGGCGAGTGCCAGGTCTGGAGGGGAGGGGGAGCCGGGAGCTGCTGGGTGGTGCCAGGGACTGGGAACCGCGGGCTAGGCCTTGGCGAAATGGGACACTCACACTCAAACCCAGTCAAGAAGGGCAAGGTCTTCCCACCCCGACCCAGGCTGGACGATCCAGGGCGGCAGGCCAGGACAGAACCCCTGAGATGTGAGATTCCCTATTTTCTTCAAGGAGCACCTCCACTTGCTTTCCCCAGCGTAACTCCTCTGAGCAGGACCCAAGGGAACTCCATGCCTGCCAGGTGCATCGGTGGCCCTCGCCTGTAATCCCAGAACTCTGGGAGGCAGAGGTTGGTGGATCACTTGAGGCCAGTCTGGCCAACATGGCGAAAACCATCTCTACTAAAAAAAATCAATAAATAGCTGGGTGTCCTGGCGGGCACCTGTAATCCCAGCTAGTAGAGAGGCTGAGGCTGGAGAATCGCTTGAACCTGGGAGGCGAAGGTTGCAGTGAGCCAAGATCATGCCATTGCACTCCAGCCTGGCCGGAGACTTATCTCACACACACACACACACACACACACACACACACACACAAAAAGGCCGGGGCCGCGGCTCAAGCCTGTAATACCAGCAGTTTGGGAGATTGAAGTGGGCAGATCACTTGAGGTCAGGAGTTTGAGACCAACCTGGTCAACATGGAGAAACCCTATTCCCACTAAAAATACAAAAATTAGCCAGGTGAGGTAGTGGTCTCAGACCAGCTACTCAGAAGGCTGAGGCATTGAACCTGAGAGGCGGCCATTGCCATGAACTGAGATGGTGCCACTGTGCACCAGTCTGGGTGATAGAGTGAGATGCCATCTCAAAAAAAATGTTTACTGAAAACCTTTAGAACAGGAAG